AAGTCCAGGCTTCTGGCCCTTGGTATGGGCAGCAAGGGAGACATCTCAGATGATTTTGAGGATGTGAGGACGTGGGCCACTGACAGAGATTTAGAACAGGAGGAGGAGCAGGGCTGGGAGGAGGAGAACTGCTTGTTCTTGGCCTTGAGGAATTTGAGAAGTTGCATGTGCATGTCTGGTACCCAGAGGGAAGATCTGGGCTGGGCGTCATCACATTCTGATTCCGGGATGGCTGAGCCACAGGAGGGTTGAGGAAGGGAGTGAGGTGGGGGTGGAGCGGGAGGGGAGCTACAGGGAGGACAGCCTGGCTGAGAACCTTGGGAGACACCCACATTCGCAGTCCACCTGAAGCAGGACTCCTAGTGGTTAACGGCTCCAGCTTATGGCTGTGTAGCCATGGGTTCGTGTTTAACCTCTCTGAGCCTCAGTTTCTCCACCCCTAAAATGGGGATGATAATAACAGTACCTGCCTGTGAGGGAGGTGAGAAGGAAACAAGCGAACATGGGTAAAGCTCTGGATAGGTGCTCAGCTCACGGTAAGTGCCACGCAGAAGCATTTACTACTGTCGCCGTCACTATCCTAGTCATCTTGATATAGCCCAGGCTACTTGTAGCTGGAGTCCATCACCTTCACAAGGAAAGCGTCAGACAGCCTGGGCACCAGGGCCAGGCAAGCGGGCTGCTGTATGTGGAGAAGTTCGCAGGGGAAGGGGTGGCGGCACCACTTTAGGTCCTTAGCAGAGATCGTCCTTGCCCTGCTTAGCTCCGGACCCTGCGGGCCCAGTCCAAGGGTTCAGAGCTCCACCTCCGCTCCCTGCTGGGTCCCTTCTCCCGGGCGTGGAGGAGGCACCCGGACTGCAGGGCGGGGCTTCTGGGTGCAGGCGCCGCTGCCCAGGCCCGGGCACTGGGCTCTCCGGGAAAGACGTGAAGACCCAGCTAGGGCTCCAAACGTTCGTGCATCCGCCAAATCCAGCGGCTGCCAGTCCCGGGCCACCTGCCTGGAGTAGGAAGAGACCAGCCACCGTCTGGGAGGCCCCGCCCCCAGCAGCCCTTCCCCGCGTCTGCAGCTGGGGCGCTGGCCCAGCCCTTGTGTCCCAACTCGGAGTAAAGCAAAGCCCACCCGGCCGCACGGTGGCCCGCGTCCGCCCCTCCTTCTCTCGAACCCGAACCCGGGTCTTTGCACCTCGAGCTCCCTCTCCCGCTGCCCCTGACTCAGGCAAGCTCTCCTCGGCCACATCCACCCACCCTCCAGGACAAGTGCGTCCTGCGCCCCTGCCCCCCAGGCTCCGACGGTCGTGCCCTGGGTCTTGCTCATCCTTAGACTGGAGCCCGCGTCCCCTTCCCTTCCTGCCCTCAGTTCTCTCAGGAAGGTGCCGGGTGTGCCCTTTCATCCTTCGCCCGTCGTCCGACCCCCACACGGCGACCCCCCATCCCCTGTCCCCCAGCAGACCAAATCCTCCGGGTCCTCGTTCTGCCCCGACTGGGTCGGCCCTGCCGGCCCCTGACCCGTGCAAGCGCGCCCCCTGTCGTCCTCCGCCCCCAATTCGGGTATTGGCGACACCCATCGGTCCCCGACAGGCCAGTGGCGCCCATGGCCCCCTCAAGGAGGACTCGGCACGACGCCGCGCGCTCCTCTGGCCGGAGCGGGGTCCCTCCCGCGGCC